AAAAAGGGGATCGCGTTATCGATCAATGAACGGTACTCGACTCTGGCACGAATCAAATTAGCATAAAAGACAAGTAAAGGTTTGTTGTAATCCATCAACACCTGACTAGGGGTCTAAATACTGAATATAACACACCCAGCACTAAACCCGATTTGCAACTTACAAGCACACAAGTTGAACTAAAAAAGTTGGTCAATGCTAGTTGCTTGCAGTTTGCAATGCTCGTGCCACCAAAGTGCGGGAAAGGAAAATAGAACAGCCGACTACACGTCATCTTCGAGAACGCTGTAAATCATCCTACAGAAAGGGGGAAAAAAATGATATTGAAGTGCTCTTCTCATTTAGAGGGTCAGAATGAGTTAAAATATAATGCTTTTGATAATTGAGAGGGAAGATGTTAAGTTCACTGACCAGAACATGCTCATGACCAAAAGAAACACGTTGTACACTATCTTGAAAATTCTTTGCTTTTTTTCCCAATTGAGCTGGTTAAAGATCTCGGTCACATCAACTAGGTGCTGTCTTCCAAGATACCTGACACGAGAAAACAATCACTCAATTAATATGCATCAAGAACAAAATGATTTGTGAGCATGATTTTCGTCGTAAGATTTAATTTAAATTAAAGGATTGAAGCATGGATGAGGGATCTTACAATCTGACGTTGTAGTACAGGTAAGGAACGCATAGAAGTGACATAAACCAATGTCCGGTTACTAGGAAGAGGAAACATAGAACTCCTTGAGTGATGAATTCCGGCAAAACTACTTTGTTTATTCCAGAGGCCGAGTCGTAAGGATTGATAATATCACACTCTAAATCCACCAAGCGCATAAGCTGCATTACAAGATAATTGGTACGTGTTGAGGAATCAGTAAGCTATGCGTATAAAACATGAAATGTAAACATCGATAGAGCAACACAGTAAAAATCCCATCTTTCCCAAAACTTAACCCTTTCATAAACAGAGGATTAAAAAAAAAAAAGACGAAAAAAAATCCAACAAAAAAGCATATACAACAATGGCATTTACGGTAATAACCTGTAAAACGGTCATAAAAACAAGAGCAATGAGTATGCAGATGAAGAGCAGCCACGCCAACACATCTCCCATATCCTCGTTTTCCTCTCTTTTCAATTTTCGGGGCAATAATCAATCTTACAGTAACTGAGAGGCCAAGGCAGAGGACTGAAGCTAACGATAGACGACGATGATGGTGGTGATTATTAGAAGCGCCAGGGGCTATACAACGCGGCCTGGCCGGTGTTTGACTCAGACAGTAAAGAATAATCGGAGTTGAAATCCTAGTGATTGGGAAAGGAAGATGCAAAAGTATTTTCAGGTGATGAACAGAGAATCTTCAGATACGTGCAAGTGCAATGCCCGAGCCTTGAGTCTCAGACTATGCCGAGGCTATATACTGTAAAGCGTACTCCTTTTTTTAGTCCGATTTGGTGTTTGTTTCCGGTTTTGATTAGGCATGTCCAACTTCTGATCTCATCTCATTATTAGTTATATATGAAACTTTGTACCCAAAAAAAAAAATAATAATATATATATATAGTTATTATATATGAGACTGTAAAATCTTGAACTGTTATTATTGTTTTTTTTTTTTTGTTATAGTATACCAATAAAAAAATCTTGTTGGTAATTAATAAAATTGTTAATTTCCCCCAACCAATTATTATAAGGTTTAGAATTTTCCCCAACAAAATGTTTTTTATTTTTAATTAAAAATCTCCATTTAAATGAAAGTAGTTTCATGTATTATATCATTTATTTATACAAATTACTCGAATATCGCGAGCTTTGGGTTTTTTGTAGCTACCGACGCCCGCGAGCATTGGGCTCATGAAAGAGATAACTCACAACTGATATTCCAACACGCCCTTCACTTGTGAGTCCTTCGTAAGCCCAGCCCAAAGCAGATCGAGTAGAGATATAGAGGTCAAGCCCAGAGCAGGTCGGGTAGAAAGAGTCATTGCAGGTCCTAGACTCACAAGTAATATTATAACGTGTCCATCACTTGTGAGTCATTCGTAAGCTCAAGCCCAAAGCAGGTCGAGTGGAGATATAGAGCCCAAGCCCATAGCAGGCCTGGTAGAGAGAGTCATTGCAAGTCATAGGACCGACCCGCTATGATACCATGTGAGATTTAGAGAATCGGGGCAAGAGGGTGCATCCCACGCAGGTAAAGCGCACATAAGAGGGTGCATTTATGTGCACCATAGTGAGATTCCATCCCAAAACCAGTTGGTGATGGGAGGAGTAATCCACTAGACTTATACACTAGGCTCGTTTACCTTATAGAATCAATGCGAGACAACTCACAAGTGATACTCCAACAATATCCAGGTGTAGATAAAGAGTTCATCTATGTGATTAAGACTTGATGAAATTAATGATGGATAACATAGATAAAGAGTTCATCTAATTGATTAAGACTTGATGAAATTAATGGACGCATAACGAAGATGTCTTTTTGTACATGTGTGATGTCGATGACTCAATTGTATTACATTGTTCTCTCTTCTTTCGTTGTATTTTTTCCTTCTCCCACTTTTTGAGTTTGACATAAGGAAGGTTCTTCGAAATTAAGCGATTTTTGTCTCTTCCCCTCTTCATATATGACACCTTACCACATGCATTTATCATCATCTTAATAAAAACACGACGAAAAAAGAGGGACAAAACTAAAAAGACTCTTGTTTTGATTAATTTATGTTTATGGAAAAATTCCATATGTTTATTGTTATTGATTTGTTTACTTATCTATTTATTTTGTCCAGTATCAGAAACACGTAATTAAACTATGTGGGCTGGTTCAAATTTATGCAGCCTTCCAACTGCTATTCGCCTCCCAAACGGAGAGGTCGGTTTCCGACCTTTTCCTTCACCGGAAAATTTCAGCTTCCGGTAACTAATCAAGGACAAGATCAGGAGCTTGCTGTTCTATTTCCCGTCAAATTAACTCGAAAGACACACTCCCAGTGTATAGTTTCAAGTAAAAAAAGCGAATTGAAGCGAAAAATTTACATCACATTAAACTTGATAACATTTTGATCCAATCACTGGAAATTGAATTTACAACCCTAGTGTGTCCTAATTTATCCAATTACCGAATTTACAGAACAAATGTCCAATATCTATTTGTGTATATACAAGAAAACACAAGAGAGCAACAAGATAATATTTATGTTGCTCTAGCAAAGGTATGGATTATATACAATTCATCATTCAATCCACGGTATGCAGCTGAACAATTTCCGCAACTTCTGTGCTCTTCGTAAGACTTCCATAATCCCTCGATCAATGAAGCTCGGAAGAAGACAGAGAGATGAGGCAGAAGATCCACTTGTCGAGACGGCTCGACTATCATAACTACTGCCCTTGCGAAGATAAAAGCTTCTGCTGCCAATATCACCGATCAAATCCGATTTGTTCAAGCCTGATAACAAACACCCAAATGTTCAATTTACTCTTATAAAACCTAGTACATATCATATAAGGACAAAGCTGAGCAAAATGTCACATTCATTTCCCAACACAGTTGTTCAGCTGTTAATCTAAGTACTGTTATTAGGTGTGTCGACCAAAATTTTGGCATGTAATCTTCAACGGTTTAAGATAAACATATACAAGACCATAAAAAACCAACAAAAGCAACCATGAAAGACCAACAAATCCAATCATATAGAACATACTCTCGAGGCTAAAGTGCGAGTGGTGCAATTGGCACGATTTAGCGGCATCTTTTTCGAGACGGGGGGTTCGGCCTTCTTCATTGTATTTATCAACCACGAGCCTTATGGTGTCGTCGATGTTGGACCCCAGTTTGACCATAGCCCGAATCGGGCCCGGGCTTCCCTCAACTGTCACATTCACCACAACCTTGGCATCTCGATTGTAAGCCTGTGTTGTTGAATTGTTGTTAGGCATGATCAAATCTTGCCTGAACATTTTCTTGAGCTCTGTACCAAACCATTGCTTCTAAAAATAGAGTATTTGTGTACATATATATGTTGATTGTGATTGCCACCATATATAGACAAAATCAAGAATTAATTCCTGACCTTCTAAAAATTACACAAGTTTCCCCAAATAGCTAGTCAAGCTTCAAGCAACGATTATCATGTGATTAGTCTTAAAAACAATTGGACAATAGCCATTGAGCGATGATGAAATGAAAGCATAAAAATATAAATAAAACCCAATTGATGTATCCAAGTAAAGCTCCGATTGCAAGCTAAATTTTCCTATAAAATCAAAATTAGTTACCGGGAAGCATTTTTCCGGCGATCGAGGCGCAGTGAGATCCGGAGACGAGAGCATGTATGTCCACGTCTGCGGCAAATACGACGGCGTATCGTCTTCCTCCGGCATGGCTTCTCCGCCCCGGGCGTTCTGCTTCAGCAGCGACGGCTCCGATTTGGTCCTCCTCAGAGCACCGGCTTTCGCCGGTGGCCTCCGCAGCTTTCCCCATCTGCTGGCATCGACCTTGCGGCTGGCTGCTCTCCTATTCGACGGAATATTCTTTCTCGCCGGAGTTTTTCTCTCTGACATATAAAATGTGAACAGTGTGTGAGTTGAATTTTGCTTGCAAGAGGCTGTTGGTTGAATTTGATGAGTGGTTGCGTGAGAAAACCGTTGGTGCATCTAAATTGTTTATTATTTATTAGTTTTTATATATCACTTAATTTTTTTAATTAAAAATAAAAATTTGGGTGAGGGGGCTTGAATGCAATCAAAGAAACACAAAATGTCACAGTTCCGTTACGGAACCATTTTATCGGAGTTTGTAACCATTAAATTATAATGTAACTGTTTGGGAATAGTTGATCTAACGGTTACAACCCCCGACAGAATAGTTCTGTAACGAAATTTAACTGTATGGGAATAGTTAATCTAGCGGTTACAACCCCGACAGAATAGTTCCGTAACGGAATTGTAACATCTTCCAAAAGATTATACATATTTATTACTATATATTGATTATTATTTGTAAAATTGGGTATTTTCGATGTTTTTTTTTTTTTGGTACAAAGAAGGAGGCCAAAGGCCTGAAATTACGATACTCGAACTCTACGTGGGTGAGTCACTCCACGGAAATCATAATCGATCCATGCAGCAAGTCCTTGTGGTGGAGTCGTTAATCTATGGAGACCTAACGGGTACGAGGCCGCTAAGCTCGCCATATGGTCCGCAGCAAAATCGGCCTCTCGATGGACATGCTGAATCTTGACGCTCCATTCTTTATCAATTAAGTCCCTAATGGCACTAACGAGGGATTCGTGAACTCCAAAATGATCCTTGGGACCAAGTACCATTTGTACCACGCACTGGCTATCAATTTCAGCAATCACACTACGGTGTCCCAAATCCCATGTCAACTGGAGGCCTTGGAGCAAGCCCCATAACTCGGCCCCAGTAATCGATCCAATCCCTATGTTCATAACAAAACCTTCAATCCATTGCCCGACCTCATTACGGAGAACTCCACCCGCACTACATAGGCTCGTATTACGACTATAAGCTCCATCTGAGTTTACTTTGACCCACCCCGACTCCGGAGGATGCCACTGGATCATGCATAGTGTATAGACAGCAGCTCCCACCTTCGCATATGCCACTGCCGACTTTTCATAAAATTCCGATCTGCGTACAGTATCCACGCAACGAGCTGCACAGTCGAGGGTCCTGCCTTTAAATATTCTCTCATTC